CAGTACCTTCTGGAATATGACACCATACAGTCTGGTACAAATTAAGTGACATTTCAGAGGAATGTAGTGCCTCTGTCTTCAGAGATGAAGAGAAAGCCATGCAAGTAACAAGAAAAAAAGTATCAAGCTGAAGTTATTGAGCTTATTTCTTGCTTTGCTTATTCTGCAACTCTGAAGGTCTTACAAATCATCTGTGAATTTCTACCACAGCATCACATCCAAAAGATAGTCTGTTTCATTTTCACTGTTATGAGAACCTCAAGTCCAGCATGTATCAAGATCACTTCTGTAAGTCTCTTTAATGTCAGATATTCTTTGTATCTGTATACATCTTTTGTTTCAGGTGAAAATCTAAACACAAATGTGCAAAAGAATGGGTATGAGATTTACATCTCGTTTGAAGCTAAAATATGTGACAGTGACTATTTTAGTAATTATAACTTTGCAATTTTTTGGAGTGTTTACCCACATATTTGAGTTAGACTTCTACACAAACTTCAGTTACCCGCTGGAAGGTGACATCCAGAAGTATGTCTTGCAGCTTCGGAACATGGAAATACCTGATGTAGTTCCCATCAATGTGTATAACTACACCTTCATCTCAAGCTGCAATAAGAAATGCAGAGAGACTGATTATGCAGGAAAACTAAGGCTACTTTATATTGTAAAATCTGCAGTACACCATTTTGATAGACGATTAGCAATAAGAAACTCTTGGGGTTTTGAAAAGAGATTTTCTGATGTTCCTATACGAACTGTGTTCCTTCTTGGTATCAACCCAGGGAATGGGCATTTGCAGACAGAGGTAGAAAAGGAACAACAAAAATATGGTGACATTGTTCAGGCAGATTTTATAGATTCATATTTCAACAACACAATAAAAACTATGATGGGCTTTAAATGGGCTGTAACCTTCTGCCCAAATTCTAAGTTCTACATGTTTAGTGATGATGACATGTACATATCAACTAAAAATGTCCTTCGGTTCATTCGAAACCCAACGCAGTACCCAGAATATTTGGAAACACCAGTTGTAAATCTTAAAGAAGTCAAAAGAGTACAACGATCGTTTTCAGATAGGGAAATATCTTCTATGAGAAAAGAAGAGAGATCGTTTGAGCTTGAAAATGTTGCAGTTCAAAGTGGTGGTCAGAAGTTGCACCAATTCCTAGACTTCGAGTTGCCGGATGATGTACGATTTTTCTCTGGGTATGTGTTCATGTCAGCACCACACCGTCACAGAAGCAGTAAGTGGCATGTGACGCTGGTAGAATATCCATACAACATGTGGCCACCCTATGTCACAGCTGGTGCATATGTCCTGTCGAGAGAAGCTTTGTTTGACATGTACTACACAAGTTTATATACAAAACATTTTCGCTTTGATGACATCTACATTGGTTTAGTTGCTATGAAAGCTAAAATTGAACCATATCATTGTACACAGTTTCATTACTATAAGAAGGAATACAATATCTTCAGTTATCGGCATGTAGTAGCATCACATGGTTATGGTGATCCAAGTGAACTACTTAAAGTATGGAATAAACAGAGGAGTGCTGGAAATGCCTGAATAAATTTAGTGTTTCTTAATGCATTCAGTTTTGGTAGGTTCTGATACAGACACAATTCTAAAGTATATGACTTACACTACCATAGTCAATAAGTTTGTGGACTGGCTGAAAAGCGTCGTCATAGTTCACTACAGTGAATAGGTTGAGGCACAATATGATGACCTGTCCATTCATCTCTCGTCACAGCAA